CATCTGTAGAGAGTCCAGGGAAGGATGGGGGACAGTGGGGTTTGGGGACGTCCTCCTGAACAGGGCCTGTCAGCAGAGTCAGATGGCGAGGGCACCCCAACATCCTCAGACAGCACGGAGGGCACAGACCCCAACAGCAATCCGCCTGGGGCTCAGGCAGGAGCAGGCACTTCTGGGCAGGCCATACCCCTCCTGAGAGGGCCCTCACTTTTTGGAACTCATGCCCACACGCCCATCTGCCCAGCAGTCCTGGAAGTGTCCTTCCTGGGCATCCGGTAACCTGGGGCTCAGGCAGGAGCAGGCACTTCTGGGCAGGCCATACCCTCCTGAGAGGGCCCTCACTTTTGGGAACTCATGCCCACACGCCCATCTGCCCAGCAGTCCTGGAAGTGTCCTTCCTGGGCATCCGGTCATTACAGACCATCCTCAGGGCAGCCTGCACTACACGGGGAAAGGGGAAATTCACTGTGGGCTACCAGCAGCTGCCTCTTCTTCAACCTCTCTGGGGTTTCTGCCGCCGTGTGCGGCTCGAACAGCGAGAACCTGCCTGGCAAGTTAATCATCGAGACTCTTCGACCTAGAGGCTTAGGCTGGGGCGACAAAGTGTAGGGAATGAAGCCAATGTCAGCGGCCCGTGCTTACACAGAACTTTCAGTTCCACTGAGCCTTCGCTCCCAGGAGAAGCCATGCTGGCCTCACCGGAGCAAAGCCACAGGGTGAGCCTGAAGCCAGGGACACAGGATGGGTGAGCTCCCCTCAGCTCTCTTCGACCTCCCAGGATGCTGACCTTGCCCTCACCATCTGGCGCTACTGCAGCTCCAGAGGCAGATGTGCAGATCCAGAACAAGAGCCTGCTGCACACGCGCGCACAGGTAGGGAGGTGACCTGGAGTGCTGAGGGCAGATGCCTCCTCCTGCCAGTGGGGGAGCAGAGGGGCCCACTGTCCCTGGGGAATACAGCAGCTCGGAGAGTTGTGGACTTGCCTTAGGCCACACAGAGCTTGCAGAGGGCTGAGCTGGGATTTGAACTCAGCTCTTCATGGTTACAGTTTAGTGTGAGACAAAGCAGGAACTGTCCAGGTTCATGTCCCAGCTGTACCTCCCAAGCGCCTTCACCCTTCTTGGCCTTGCTTTTCCTTATTGGGGCATCAAGTAAAGAGATAACAGCTACCTTATGGGACCACTGTGAATGTGTGTGCAACAGCAGTTGGGATGGTGCCTGCACCTTGCAGGTTGTGGGCGCTTACCGACATCCTGTCTCCTAGAGAGAAAGCTCACGGTCCTCAGCCTTCCGAGGCCACTGTCCCTACTTGCTTATGCTGCCCAGCGGCTCCACCTCCTCTGCCTTGTTCTGTAACTTCCTTTCCCTGCTGCTGCCGCTTGCCAAGACCTTCCCAGGTCTCTGCCTGCCTTGCTCCCTCCCCTCCTTCTCTCTCTGCCAAAGTAGGTTGCTCGCTAGGCCTTTCCTCAATCTCCCTTCTTGAACCGGCAGCCCCACCACACCCGCACTCCCTGCACTCTGACCCTGCTTTATCATTCTAGCGCTTGTACCATGCAGCTGGCTCTGTATTTCATGTCTTTAGAATATTTATTGGTTGTCTCCCTCTTTAGGATTTTCCTCCTGAGGGAACTGGATTGATTTTTTTCTGTTTGACTCGTAGACATATCCCAAGTAATTCCAACAGCAGGCTGGTTCTGGCAATTCCTGGGGACATTTTCGGTGGTCACGACTGGTTTTGTTGTGTGTGGTTGCTACTGGTATGTAGTACGGTAGAGACCAGGGGTGTTGCTGAACACCCCACAATGCACAGGACAGCCTTCCCACCATCAAACCAAAGAATAAGTCAGCCCCAAGTGCAAGTGGCCCCACAGTTGCAGCCCTGTCTTAGCTCAGCAGTCGGCACACTCATAGTAGGTGTTGCGAAAGAAACAAAGAGATGCTACCATCATTGTCATGGTCATTATTATTTCAAAACAGATATAGTCAAGAGTAACCCTTGAGAATGGTCGTTTCTTGGGAGCTGATAGCAGTAAGTCACACTGGTGGCCTGTCACATCTCCCTCTTGACCAGGGTCTGCCCTCCAGAGCACCCAGACAGGGATGCAAACTGCTCGTCATCAGACTGTCACGATCAGAACCAGTCCCGGCTAACCGGTGCCCTGAGGCCCAGCGATGCTAGCTCACCCCTCGCACGATGAACCTGACCCCCCCAGCCTTGGCACCCAACACTCGTCCCCCTACTGAAACGCTCTGGATCTTGTGCCCAGCTGGGCAGGGAAGCACTACGTTAAGCCACTCAGGGTGACCCTGGCAGGACCCTGCGACCCTGCAGCCTCAACCCAGGAGCCCCTGTTTTTGCTTCTCTCCAGAAAGGGATCTAAGAGGGATGGAGAATGTAGGGCACCCGGGAGGCTGCAGGGCTGAAACCTCCCCGAGCGCAGCACATCCCGGGCAGGGGCTACTTCCTCATTCTGCTGACCTAACAAATTGCCATGGACAATTTTAAGCAGCCGGTGTGACAGCCCTGGCTCCAAATGTGAAGAAAGCCTCCTTATAGCACCGTCAGTGCCTGCCTTGCGGCTGTACCTGTGCCTGGGAGGCAGGGGAAAGGGAGGGCGTCTTCCCTGCTGCAGAAGCCCCGCCCCACCCCAGCAGTCAGACACCTGCTTCCCCACTTTGCAACAATTTCCCTTGGGTTCCCCGCCTTCCCTGCCTGCTGTCAGCCCCTGCTTTGTCTTCCCAAGCCTCTCCTCCTCCCCCGGACTTCTTGGACTTCGCAGCTGAGCCTCTCACTGCAGAATGCTGAGGCTGGCAAAGTCTTGCCTCCTCCCGACAGCACTCCCAACTTCTTCTCTCCTCCCTTCTGTTCTTCTATTGTCTCCTTTTCCTCTGGAAGGTCCTGAGACCCAGTTAAAAAGTCACTGGCGCTGAGATGTAAGGGATAAAGGAATGCGCCTCTAATGGAGGAATATAAGGCACCAGACAGCTAGGTTTGGGGAGAAGGGATGGGTGGGCCAGAGCTTTTCTGGGGCCCCTAAAATCACAAGCACACGGCCCTAATTCTGCCGGAGTAAAAGTGGCCGCACACCCAGGACAGGACGACAGGACAAGTACAGGCTGAGTGACCTCGTGAAAACGAGCCTGGGGACGGAAGTGCCAGCTTCCCCCGGTGGACGGGCATGGCACAGACTGGGTTACAGCCCCATCCTCTCTCTGAGAATCTGAACGGTGTCTGTGAACTACTCCGCTACAGAATGAACACCACATCGCCCGGGCCTGAGGGTGCAGGAGGCCTCCTTGCTGCACGGTCACCTCCCCAAGTCCAACATGCAGGAGTCAGGCTGAGGGCTGGACAAGGAGGGGCTCAACAAGTAGCTCAGGACCCTCCCAGGGAGGTGGCCAGTCATCTGTGACCTTTGTTCTCACAGCACCCCGCTGGCTTTTCACTGAGGACACTAAGCTTCCAAGTGGTTTTGTGACTTGGCCTGGGCCCCATAGTTGTTTGGTGACCCAGCTGGGACTGAAACCCACCCCCGCAAATTGCCCAGGCCCAGACCATGAAGCTCTGACCCACTTGCCAGGGGTGTGACCCACCCAGATGCTGGTGGGCCACGCTGCCAACACACTGCCAACAGCCACAGCTATGGCAGGGCCCCTTCCCTGTCTTCAGTCACACGAGACCCGTGGAGACGCGGTGGCTTTCAGCACACACAGCCCCCGGCCACTGCACCAACTTCTGCACTGTGAGAGGGAGGTGGGTTTTGGGGGGGTGCAGATCTCTCCATTTTTAGCCATCTTGGGGTCCCTCAGCTACTCCAGGCACCACATCAGCAAAGAAGTGAGACACAGCAGGGCCTCTCAGCAGACAGGACAGCGGCAGGAGGAGTGAAGCTGTCACCCCAAGATGCCCAGGTGCTGAGATGCCTGGAACCCAGCATATCAGCTGCAGGCCAGAGTCCCCCACTCCCAACCAGCGCAACCAGGCAAGGGGGGCAGGTTGAGTGGCCAGAACGAGTCCCATCTTGTATCCCCTGGGATGGGGTGAGCAGGAGCCGGCCTGGTGACATGGGCCCTGCTCTCCCAATCCCAGTAGCCCAGTGCAACGCGGGTGAGCCCCTTCGCTTCTCTGAACAAGAGACTTCCATCCATCACAGGGGCCACGGGCGTGCGTGGCAGGGTCAGGGGGAGCACGTGGCTCTGGCCAGCAGGCAGAATGCAAGCCTTTTTGCTCCCCAAATGGGTACCCTGCAATCAGCCTCCAAATCCCTTTCTGTCGTCCCAGGTAAGGATACCTCGATTTCACTTTAAAATATTTTAACAAGCTGCCTCTTCATCAATTGCCAAATTAGGCTGAAGGCAAAGAGGCCACGTAATTAAAACGAGGAGCTTTGGCGTGGCCGTGGAAATGTTTTGTTCTGTGCCTGCCTATACCCGGTATCTGCATCTTCAGCGGGTCCCCATTTCCCCTGCCCCCAGGTCCCATCCCTGCTTGGGGACATAAGGCTGTGACACTTTTTCCTACCAACTCGCCCGGGGCATGGGACGTCCTGATGGTCCTGGAAGCCAGGTCGGATGAGTCCAGGAAAGCAGACGTCCCTGGCCAGGACTGGGAACTCAAGAGGCCCCCCACGGGCTGTGATAAGCCCGGAGCTCGATCTGCAAAGAGGGACGCCCCAGCTCAACAGGTTGTTGGAGCATTAGCCCTTATCATTTCTGCCGACCCCACTCAAGTCTGTCGTGGGAGTCTGGAGTGGGCAGGCTGCAGTTAGCGCCTGCAAAGAGGAGGGTCATCGCCTCGCCCAGGCACGCACGCACACACACGCACACACACACACACACACACACACACACAAACACTCACGCCTGCCCCTTCCAGGACGCACCCACGCGCCCCTGTCCCCGGCTACGCGGTGACAGCGACCCAGGCACCGCGAGAGCTCGTCCTCTCCCGGACCCCCAGGAGGGGACAGCAGGTCTCTCTCGGTCTCTCGGGCTCTTACCTCGCGACCACCGACCTCGGGTCGTGCGTCCCTCGCTGGATGGGCGCGCGGGTCGGGAGGTACCGCGCCGGCTGCCCGGAGCCGGTCCCGTACGATCCGCCGGAGAT